AGCACTGCAGTATCACTTGTGACGTGGCGAATCCCATAAGTGCAGTACAAGCTGGTAGTGTCCCGCAGCCACCAAGAATTCACACACAGACCCGTAGAGCCCATAGTATCCTTCTGGCTATGCTTGCAAATCCCGATTGGCAGCCTACAAATTCTGCAGCACCTGTACTTCCCCAATTCACAGTCCAACCCGGAATTCAGGTGGAAATAGCAAATTTAACTACTCCCCTTGATTTTTTTGTAGCGGTTTTTTACAGAAGATCTGTTTGCATTGATTGTGGAGCAAAGCAATTTATACGCACAATTTATCGCCGCCAACCCAAATTCAAACCTTGCCAGACCATTCGTTTGGATACTCACTAAAGGTTTTCAACTTCACATTTTTTTTTGGGCCTAACCCTCAACATGGGCATTACTTAAAAAAAAAAAAAAAAAAAAAAAAAAAAAAAAAAAAAAAAAATTGCGGTTCTATTGGTCCACAGACCCGATTCGTCACATGCCAGTGTTCTCTGCTGCCATGGTCAGGCAGAGATACAAGAGTATAATGTTGTTTTATGTAGTTCAATGACAAAACACTGTCATCCTCAGGATGACCCTGAACTTAACCAGCTCCACAAAATTCAGTCCCTCATAAATCACCTTAACCAAAAATTTGCAGATGTCTATACCCCCCAGCAAAACATCTGCGTTGATGAGTCTCCCATTACTTTTTCTGATCGCCTTGCATTCAAACAATTTCTACCCAGCAAGTGTGCCAGATATGGGGTTAAGCTGTATTATTATTATTATTATACAGTATTTATAAAGCGCCAATAGTTCACTCAGCGCTGTACATTACAAAGGGGGACAGAACATGTGACAGAACAATACCAATACAATGCAAAACATGAGGGGATTGAGGGCCCTGCTCTTTCAAGCTTACAATCTAGAAGGGAGGGGATGGTGGCACAGGAGGAGATAGCTGTGGGGGATGGAGTAGTAGGAAGAGTGGAGGAGGTCGGCAAGTTAGCAGGGGGTGGAGTAGGCTTCCCTGAAGAGATGGGTTTTCAGGGTGCACCGAAAGGAGAGGAGAGTAGGTGATAATCTGATGGGTTGGGGCAGGGAGTTCCAGAGGATGGGTGACACCCTGGAGAAGTCCTGGAGGCGGGCATGGGAGGAGACCAGGGAACTAGAGAGGAGGTCTTGTGAGGAGCGGAGTGTGCATGCTGGGCGGTACTTGGATATTAGGTGAGTGATGTAGTTCGGGGCAGTATGGTGGACAGCTTTGTATGTCAGCGTTAGGATTTTGCATTTGATCCGTTGCGCAATCGGAAGCCAGTGGAGGGATTGGCAGAGGGGGGTGGGCGGAGACAGAGCGGTTGGAAAGGTGAAGGAGTCTGCCAGCCGTATTCAGGACCGACTGAAGCGGGGATAGCCAGCGGTGAGGCAGGCCAGTGAGGAGGGAGTTGCAGTGCACTGTATAAGAACTGTGAGAGGGCAACAGGCTATACATAGGAGTTTCAGATTTACAAGGGAAAAGATCAAAGTCATGAGGAGCCCCCCTGATGCCCAGACTACATGGGGAGAAGTGGCAAGATAGTTTGGGACTTGGTGTCATCCCTTTTCCATATGGGGTACCACTTCTACATGGACAATTTATATTCAAGCGTGCCACTCTTTATACATTTGTACAATCTTGGAATTTGCGTATGTGGCACCGTGCAACCTAATTGCCAGGGCTTCCCCCAACAGCTTGTAAATACCAGTATTAGAAAGGGGGAAAAGCCTGCTTGAAAAATGAGGAATTGCTTGCAGTGAAGTAGAAGGACAAACAGGATGTTTTCGTCCTGTCTTCCATTCAAGCAGACCCAACCATCCAAATTACCACAGCAACTGGTCTTGTTGAGGTGCCCTCTGTGTCCACGACTATAACCTTATCATGGGAGGGGTGGACTTCCACGACCAGATGATGAAGCTGTACTTAGTTTCCCAAAAAGCTAGACACTGGTACAAAAAAAAAAAAAAAAAAAAAAAAAAAAAAAAGTGTTTATTTCAATTGGCTCTATATAATGCTTTACAAAGCAGATCCTTCCTAAAATTCCAGGAAGAGCTCATTGCAGCCCTTTTGTATCCAGAAGGTACTGTGGCCCAAACCCCCAACAGAAATGGAGTTAGCCAGCTGCATGAAAGACATTTTCCCAATGCCATTGCTGGTACTCCAACCCAAAGGACACCCCAAAAAAGATGATGTGTCTGTAGCAGACATGGAATTATGCATGACACCCAAATTTTTTTTTTTTTTGCCAACCTGGTCTCTGCCTCAAGAACTACTTCCGTCACTACCACACACTAGTGGATTATTAGTATAGGGAACAGCAAGGCACAGTTCAGGGTACATATTTACATAGAGTCTCAAAAGATATATCAGGTAGTCAGGAAACTGGCTATCGCATTTGGAAAGACCTTACAATCGATTTTAAAAAGTGTAAGTTTAAAAAAAATTAAAATAAAGTACAAATCCCCCCCCCAAAAAAAAATTTTGGGGGGGTGGGGGGGGTTTGCTGCTGTGCTAGCCTAGGCTCCCAAAAAGTCTCACATGTGATATCCCCATACTTGGTAGAAGTAGCAGAATGTATTTTGGGGTATAATTCAACATATACCCATGGCTTGTGTGAGCAACATATCATTTAAGTGACAACTTTGTTAAAAAAAAAAAAAAAAAAAAAAAAAAAGTTTTTTGCATTTTCAAAAACTTGAGGGGGGAAAGAAAAAAAAAAATCTTCCATGGACTCAACATGCCTCTCAGTAGATAGCTTAGGGTGTCTACTTTCCAAAAAGGTAATATGGGGGTGTTTGTACTGTCCTGGTATTTTAGCACCTCAAGAAATGTGCTAGTCAAAAGTAAAAGCTGTGTAAATTCCATTATCTATACCATAGTTTGTAAAAGCTATAACTTTCACACAAAGCAATATGCAGTTATTGGGATATTCGTTTAAGACGTAGCAAAATACATATTGGCATAAATTTATGATGAAATTTGAGTTTTGATTTTTTTTTTTTTTTTTTATGACAGAAATGAGAAAATATCAATTTGTTTCAAACTTTTTCAGTCTTTTTTTGTTTATAGCGCCCAAAAAAACCAGAGCTGACCAAATACCACCAAAAGCTCTGTGTGTGAAAAAAAGGACATAATTTACGTACAGCATTGCATGACCGTGCAATTGTCAGTTAAACTAGCGCAGCATAGCAGAAAAAAAAAAAAAAGTGAAAATTGCAGTACCATAGTTTGTAGACTTTCACCCAAAGCAATCAATATACACTTATTGGGATTTTGTGCTTATCAGACATGTAGCAGAAAACATTTTGGCCTAAATTTATGACTGAGTTTACTATATATATTTTTATAGCCGAAAGTAAAAAATATATATACTTTTTTCAAAATTTTCTGTTTTGTTTATAGCGCAAAAAAAAAAAAAAAAAAAAAGCACACACAGGTGATCAAATACCACTGAAAGAAAGCTCTATTTGGATGAAAAAAACAAAAAAACAGATATGCGTTCGGGTACATCATTGCATGACCGCGCAAGTACCAGTTGAAATAGTGCAGACGAATAGCAAAAAAAAGGCCTGGTCGGGGGGGGGGGGGCCTTGGGAATCCTCAGGAGGGCAAGGGGTTAAAGAATTCAAAAAAGGTGCTCAAAGCTTTGCAAACTGTAGTGGAATCAAGTGAGAATTAGGCCTAAAGATTTAAGGGACTTAGATCCAAACCTGGTCCAATTCAGGTTGATACACGATTGGTTGTAAAGAAATAAATACAGCTCTTAGTAACATGTTGAAACACATGATCATAAGTGTGTACACCAATATTACATACACCTCATCTTCACCACAGCTATGCCTCACTGTGTTTAACAGAATAAGGGGGAGAAAAAAGAAAAAAAAAAAAAAAAAAACACACACACCAGTTTAATTTCGCTAAGTTTATTAAATTGGAAACCCTCCTTGTGAGAGTTTGCAGGGGACCTTGAAAAAGTTTTCCGGATGCATGGGCACCTGCCATAAACAGCTGCTATTAAGACTATACATTTAATGTTAGATCCGTTGAGATGTCTTACTTAGATTAGTAAGAACAGGTACCTGACTACTATCGGACATTTTGTTAGAGCAGTTTACAGAAGCAAAAGAAAAAAAAAAAAAAAAAAAAAAAAAAAAAAACACGTCCTTAAAAGTAATAAAATATGTGAACAGCAGTCTAAACTCCTTAATATTGACATTTAAATATATTTGCATTGTGCTGAAGTGTGATTTAGAACACCTTCGAGGAGACAGAACAAAATGTGTGGCAAGTCTTCATTCTATGTTAGTCTCAAAGCATTGTGATCTCAGCATCAAAAAACAATGGGAGTTGATTCAGCACTTTCTATACAGCAGCCCGTCTCTTCCTAAAGAAGGAATGTTTTCATACAATAATTTCCTTTTTTTCACCTAGAACTTTATACATACAAACTAAAAAGTATGATCAATTAAATTAAAGGACTTTACCGTTAGTAATGAACAGAATTTGTTTAGCCTTGGACTATGTAAAAACACACACGCACAAATGCTCACAATTCTACTGGACTAGAGCAGCTAGATCTTGCCTGCAAGTGTAAGGGTTCACAAAGCCCATAAATGTGCAAAGAAATGCAATACAAGAATCCATGCAAAAATATGTAGAGGAAAACAAAAAGGAAACAAAAAACTAAAAAAACTAAAAAATAAAAATGGAAATGAGAAAAAAAAAACCAAAAAAAAAAAAAAGCTTTATAAATACATATACCCTTCACTGCTACAAGTAACTTGCTAGCAGCAAAGGACCTAAATATGATCTGTATACAAATGGTAGTCTATAGCATTAATTGTATGAGGCAGAGCCGGCACACCAGATTTAATGCTTCAATGTCTGTGCAGTTTCAGTCATGCCATCTTTGGTTGGCTGCAGTACCGAGGGGTTAAATGGGCATAACATTGGTTGTAAAAATGTCAACTCTCCGTAGGAAGTTGAGCTTCAATGTCCACTCTACATATGGGGCACTTTTTATTTGTGATCAGCCACTGGTCTACACATACTTGGTGAAAGAGATGCATACATGGGAGCCGTCTGTAGGAAGAGAAAAAGAATGATTATAACATCACAAGTAAAAATATCAATTATAATGTAAATAGCTAAAATGTCAAATTACACTTCAACCAGGTATCATTGTGGACTCAAAAGTTAAAAATAAACGAATTTAAAAAAAAAAAAAAAAAAATCAAACATCATGGGATGGGTTCTAACCCTTGCCTCCTGTCTGATGTTCAAATAATTCCCAACTCTAGGAAGGAATGTTTTTACAGCGATCTGTGTAAGGCATATCAAACCTATTACCCTTCAAACAATGAACCATAATGTTTGCACTGGTAAACTTCCTATGTGTCCCACTTTCCTCTGAAGAGGACATGGATGATGTGTATTACAAGTTACATTTATGTGTTGCTTATTTTGCTTTAGAGCAGGGTTTCTCAACCAGGGTCTGTGGAACCCCGAGGGGTTCCTCTAGAGGTTGCTAGGGTTTCCTTGAGCAATGAAAAATTTCTGTCTCTTCGATAAGTTCCCACTAACACCATCAATCTTTTCGGCTATCTGTAAGGGGGAATTCTTCCCAATGACCACAGGTGGAAGGGGCATTCTTCCCACTGACCATTACACTAATGTCATCATATCATGACAGATAAAGTAATTTTTAGCAGGGGTTCCCTGAGATTGTAAAGTTATTTTAAGGGTTCCTCTGTGTTGAAAAGGTTGAGAAAGGCTGCTTTAGAGTAAAAACAAGCACCAAATTTAAACCATATATAAAATCAAAGTAATAGATTACCTGACATCTTCACCTTCCTCTAATATAGAAAGGCAGATTGTACATTTTTCTTCAGTGTCTTCCTCACCATCTTGCTTGCCATGCAATTTCCTCTGTGAGAACCAATCAGTGGATACCTTATTAGCAGAGATGAAATTATTGGCAAACTCGGTAAACATGTTTCTTACAAAACTCATATATTTACCACAACACACGGATATTTCACGCATCCCCATGAGTAATAATTAATTCTAAAGCATTTTAATTTTCTTCTAGTTGCATACACTAAAATACATAATATGAAAGCCACAACACAGAGGATGCTGAAATAGAAAGAACACACATCACACAACAGAATATTAAAGTACAACTAAAGGCAAAACTTGTTTTAGTTATGGACAGAGTGGAGATGGATTAGAACACCTGTCAAGGTTTGTATTGCTTTCTGTGTCCCCATTAGGAAGATTAATCCTCTCTATTTTTCCTGTTTACTATTCTCATTGAAAATGAAAGTAAAAGAAAACCCCCAAATTTTGGGTTAACGCCAGAAAAAAGGAAACCTTCCAATGGGAACATTGAGGATCCCCTAGGGATTCCCTTAATTTGAAAGGATTTCCTCACTTCCTGTTTTGGCTATGGGACAGGAAGTGAATGGAATTCTCCCCAATAGAACAACGATGGCAGAAAAAAAAAAAAAATCCCAAAACACTGATTGGGGTCATTACCTTTCCTTACTCTATCCAAAATGAAAAGAAAGAAAAAAAAAAAAAAAGTTTTGCCTGTAGTTCTACTTTAAAAGTCCACCTAATTGCCCATCACAAATGCTGAGGGAGGAAAAGATTACCGTGTTCACAGCTCATGCTTTGCTCATGTATTGCCATGTGTGTTAGACATACAGAGAACCTAGTACAGCCTGAACTACATAATGTCAAAAATTGAATACTTGTTGCTACCGTAACAACGAACACACCTACTCAAACGCTTTTTCAATATGAAAAAAATCTTCCCTTCAAACAGCAATGAAAATATCACAGTGGCTTTAGACAATAACATAGAACTTGGATGTTCACTAACCAGTTTTGTTTTTTTTTTTGTTTTATTTTTGCTTTAATCAGACATTCAAGAAAACATCTGCCTTCAATTTGCCAGAGGACTGGTGTGTTCTAAGTTTTACCCCTCCTAGTAAAAAATTTCAAAATAAATTCTTCCATGGAGAGCATGTCATACCAAGTCTTCAGTTTTTAATTCTCAAATAACTACGATGTACTGAGCTGCACATGCCAAATTGCCAAGGTAACAGAGGTATAGCATAGTGGCCCACACAACCTGCAGGTACCTCTAATCAGTGAAATCTTCAGCTGTAAATGAGTCTTTAAAATTTAGCTTGGTGCTCTGCAATACAACTATGCCATCACACAACCCAATAAAAGGCACTTCAGTTCTTCTTATTAGAAATTTGGCCGACAGGAGACAAAGGCAGAGCTCCGAATTGGAGCTGAAGTTGAAGTTTATGTTACAGCTTGCCTCTAAATTTGGATGCTCCGCAGAAGATGATTTTATCAGTAAAGAAAGCTGCAGGCACCTTGTTAAGACTTTTGTTTTACTCCAAATGTGACAAGTTTAAATATAACTAAAAAGGCAACTTTTTGTTTTGGATAGAGATTTGTTTTTATTGTTGTCTGTGCCCCCTCTCTATTTGTCCTGTTCACCATTATTGAAAGAGAAAGTAAAAAAATCCCACATTTTGGATTGTCCCCAGAAAAGTAACAGAACATCTTCCAATGTGAACACTAATTCTGGTGACCTGGGTGGGGTCCCCAAGAGATTCCCTTAATCCGCAAGGATTTCCTCTCACTTCCTGTTTTGGCTATGGGATAGAAAGTGAATGTAAATCTCCCATCGAGACAAAGGCGGCAAAAATAAATCTTACAGTGGTCATAACCCTCCCATACTCTATCCAAAATGGAAAAAAAAAAAAAGTTTTTTCCTATAGTTCTACTTTAATAGCTGCAACAGGTTGGGCACAGTTTGCTTCAAAATGGCTTTGAAGCCAATAATCTGGTGTTCTTGGAACACAAACAGGAGCATCATGTGAGTATACAAGCCAGGAATTTCCATCCAAGTCAGGTGTCTTACTGCTTCTTATGCAGGGAATTTATACCACATATAACCATGTGACAAATAGGCAGCCACAGCCACCAAATCGTATGAAGGCAAATCCAGTTGAAATTAGTCTTGGATAGCATGCATCCAATGTTTTATGCTTGTTTCTGAAAGTTGCTCTTTAAGATTACAATTTGCTCAAAATATAGTTGTTTTAAAATGATACAAACATGAATAGTCCTGATATTTTCATAAAGGAAAAAATGAAAAAAATGAGATTTCAATATTCTTCATGTGAAGAAAAATCGCTCACCTTCTTATATTTATGTGGGTATGTGCACCTTTCTATGGTCCCCTGTGAGGCTCCACGATTCACATTACCAAGCCGTTCCTCTAGATGAATCAGTTCCTAGAAAATTAAAGGCAAACCTAAGAAGACAGATCTTTCCTCAAGACAAAACGGTTAGTGATTCCACAATATCATTATTCAAGTGTATACCCATAGAGCAGACATGAGATTAGAACATCTACCAATCAATTCCGAGTCTACCACGGAAATTATATTACAGCAATATAAGTGGACCGGTAACGTATCACATGAAGACTTACACAACCAAGCCTACTCATTTGAAATAGCACAAAGCCATCAAATTTCACGGCAGCTTTTTGTATTCCCTCTCCTAAATGTAAGGCAACCTCTGTGCGAGGACAAATTAATCCAGTGCCTACAAATAAGAATTTGAATCCGAATATATGTTGAGATATTATAGTCCATGCAGTGGTGGTTAAGCCTGTTATTGGGAGAAACATGCATATTACTGAGTCATAGGTCCACTTGCATAGATTAGTGCAACCAGAAGCTTATGAATCATACAGCTAACGTTCAATTCAAAGCTTTCAGTTTGTAGTCACTGCCAGCGCTATTGCCCACACACTGAAATGTAAAAAAAAAAAAACTAAAAAAAAAAAAAACCAAAAACACAGGATACACAAATCCCAATGCTTGATGCTGAAGTATATCATACAGAAATTACATGATATAAATACATATTACAAAGATTAAAAAAACAAACTAAAAATACTAAGCCTCTGCAACAGAAGTGATTATGAATAAAAGGTGGGATTCTCAGTTCCCTGCTCAAATGAGTTCCAAGGCTTCAAAAATAAAATTACTAAATACACTCTGCATCTGATTGGGGAAATCATTTATTGTGTATCCTTTATTAATGTGAACACACACACATTAACCTGAAGGAAACATTCCATAGGTACATGGAATGACAGCAAAGACATGACAGCAGAAAGCTAACATTCTGTTACAAACCTCAAAATTGCCCCTGAATGGAACTCTGAATGACCTTCCATCCAATCCAGATGAAATGTAGCGGATGTGAGGGTAGCCCGCCATGTCTGGAACCTAGTCAAATAGCAGATGTCAGTTAAACTATAACACAACTGCTTGTAATGACCTCAAAAGGATCTTTGCTGCCAGAAAGATATACAGCTCTGAGGCTACCCTTGTAAAACCCTCTAGCAGCAAAATGATCAGGTGCAGTCATAGAAAAAAAAATATATAAATATATACAAGAAAAACACAAATGTTGTGAAGCACCATAAACTGGTTTTTGTTTTTTCTATTTTTTTTTTTTTTTTTTGTGGTAGGGAGACGGATGCAGTGACAAGGCAATGTGCTGCTTGGTCAACTATGTACCATTCCACTGCAAACCAGCCACATAATAAGGAAATATATATTGTATTCCTCAGTTCCAAACAATGCAAAGATATGAAAAGGTTCAATGTCCAGGACATATGGGAGAATGCAAACAAATACAGCAAAATGAGATAAAACAATGCCAAATGAGTGGATTCCAAAAAAAAACCAGAATGTCTTCATCATACACTTGTGATTACCAGAAATTAGCAAAGTTTAGCCAACTATTCTGTGCCAGTCATGTTCATAGTTCAAAGCAAATCACAGTAGTTAATCCTAACTCCAGTTTCTACCACTGTGTAGCCAGTACGGCAATAAGAAAACAGTGGATACGTAGCAGGCTATCATAGACCAGTTCATTAAGATACATAGTTATGCAATATGGGAATTCGATTTTCAATCCTTCCTGAGGTTTGTGCTTGGCAGTCTGACATACTCAATGTTCTCTAGGTCCCAAATGTCAGTATGCCAAAAGATCTGGTCATCTTATCTTATATTAGGTGCCAACCTGGATAGTTTATGACCCTCTGGTCCTAGGAAAACCACAATTATAAAATTAAAGGGAGAGGAAGACCAAATCCACACTTGCTATAGGGCTACAGTGCAAATTCCAGGATCATAGGCTTCCTGCAGCTGGGATAGCTGTGGCTACTTAACCCATATAAAGCAATGATGGGCTGATGGTGGCCGCAGCTGTCTGTTGCTGTTCATACATCCAGCAATAAGCTGTGGTTAGGGACAGTTTTGTTCTTGGACGTTGTGTGCGTTCAGGGATGATCATCTGTCCCCAACCACAAGTAACTAGAGGCTGATGACATCCAAACAGCCATGGACAGCTGCAAACACCATCAGCCGGTCACTGCTTTGTATAGGCTGGGTGACCACAACTATTCGCAAACACCTGTCATATTGGCCACAGAAAACCTCTGACCTTGGCTGCTGGAATTCATCACTATAGCCCTAACCAAAAGTATGAATGGGGCAAAAAGAAAATCCGATTTGTGCATAAAGAACACCTATCTGTGCTCCTGACTCTACTACCTTGTTGAATTATATGAACTTCTAGAGGTGGAAAAAGAAAAAAACATTTCAACAAATGCTACATCATACAGGTTCCCTGCCTCTAACATTGTGTATTCATAAATAACCCTACAGGCCGCATAAAACTTAAAAATTTAACCATTTCCATCAAATAACTCTTCTGCTGTCAATTTTCAAAGGATGGCTGTCAGCAACCACAGGGAAATTATTCTAAAACCAGTTGCTAACAGTAATTAGAAAATTAGTATACAATTGCATGTTTTTAATTAGCAGAAATGGGGAATATGTTATTAAAATAGAAAACTGAATGTGGACAAGCCCTTTCAACTACCAGAGACTTAAAATCCTAACAACCAACAAACATCATAGCTCAATGTACAGTAGGACACAGTCCAACCGGTCTAATAAAGCTGGAAAGACTACATCCAGAGGGAAAGAGGTGTGGAGAAACGTGTACACCCCAGAAAACAAGTACCTCTCTATTCGCTTCGATGCAGTGTGAAACAAGACTGAAGAATCAGATGCAGAGTGTCAATGACTACCAAAGGTAAGAATAGCCCAAGCCAAAATGAGTGCCCACCTATCCATAATTTGTTTACAAAGAACTGGCAGGGGACAACATGATCTAATATGATTTTACTTCAGTGTCCTGTACACAATTTATAGCATTACATACACCTAAAAGTATATAAATCGTTAACAAATTAGGAGTCCTTTAATTTCTTGCATTCATTTTTTATAGTAATAAAAACAAAGCAAAGACGACCTCAAATTCTGACTTACCTACTGTATATTTGTTCTGGGTCAGTGAATTAAAGTATTAAAGTCAGAGACAGTCAGGCACCTAGCAGTCTAATGATGACAGCAATGCCATTTACGGTTTAAGGTTAAGGTTTAAATTCTATTTCCCTGGTATTCTGGTAGGAAAACATGTCACGAAGGAAAAGGCTAAGGAAATTAGAGACCATGCACAGTTATTCCTAAAATGGACATGGATCATATTTTAGGCTAGGTTCACATGCAGATTGCGTTTGATGCATTTTGTAGGTGCATTTTGCATTTTTCTCACACTTTTTTTATGCATTTTGTGCTGTGTGTAACTTTAGGTGGTTGTTAAGGAGCAGGCGGCCACTGGCATCCTTAACCAGCTTACAGCCACACAAAGCACAACGCAAAAAAAAAAATAAAATAAAAATAATCGCATCAAAACAATACTTGCATTTTTGGTGCGGTTCCATTGAAGTTCATTACACACAAAACGCAATCTGCTATAAGGAAAAAAGTCCCTGACCCTTTCAAAAATCTGCACTGGCTCAAAATAAACAGATGTGAACTAGATCCATAGGAAATCATGTAAAATGAACTGTAGTGAGTTTCTGCAAACTGGAAAACGCACTGCAATCCGCATAAGTGTGAACCTAGTCCCAAACATGAAATTTGTTTGGCTTTTTTACTCAATTACATTGGTCCAGCTTGGTATGCATGTGCCATACCTGTGTATGCGATATCTGTGCACAAGCGTCTGAATAATCACTTAAATGTGTATTAAAAAAAAAAAAAGAAATGAATGTTGCACTATAACAAATAGTTTATCTGTGAATAGCCACTGTCTTTGAACTGACGTTATGTGTTTTCAGCAGTCATCAAAACAGAAAAGAGCAAAAAACTATAACTATCAACGAAACAAACAAACCAAATAAAAAAAAAAACCCAGTAAAATCTACATAATTGTAAATGTGGTAGTTCCATACATCTTGGCTAGATATCACTCCTAGGTAAATGCTGCAAAAATATGCAAGTAGAAAACGCCTCCACCACAGTGAATCCCTTTTGGGCAAACTCTCACCTCACTGTATTAACCCCCACGACAAAAGGTCAATATCAACTCCAACTAGTCTTAATACATGTGAGTGGCTTTCTATTTTTTTTTATCAGTGAGCATTATAGAGGTTCTCATTGTCTTAACATGTAAATACACACTGAATTATCCATCCATCCGAGCAGCTAAGGTTCTTCAAGAGCCAGAGTCCTTGCTGATTAAGAAGGAAAGGAGTCAGTCCAGTGATGAAGCACATATTGACCTTTGTTGTGGAGGTAAATACAGTGAGGTGAGCGTTTGCCCAAAAGGAATTCACTGTGGTGGACGTGTTTTCTACTTGACCATTTTTGCAGCACTTACCTAGGAGTGATATATATCACAAGTTGTATGGGACTAACATTTACAGTACCTTGAAAAAGTATTCATACCCCTTGAAAAATTTTCCACATTTTGTCATGTTGCAACCAAAAAAAAAAAAAAATGTTATAGACCAACACAAAGTGGCACATAATTGTGAAGTGTAAGGAAAATGATAAATGGTTTTGAAAATGTTTTACAAAGATATCTGAAAAATGTGGCACGTATTTGTATTCAGCCCCCGGAGTCAAAACTTTGTAGAACCACCTTTCGCTGCAATTACAGCTGCAAGTCTTTTTGGGGATGTCTCTACCAGCTTTGCAAATCTAGAGTGACATTTTTTGCCTATTCTTCTTTGCAAAATAGCTCAAGCTCTGTCAAGTCTTGCCACAGTCTCTCAATTGGATTTAGGTCTGGACTTTGACTGGGCCATTCTAACACATGAATATGCTTTGTTCTAAACCATTCCATTGTAGCTCTGGCTGTATGTTTATGGTTGTTGTCCTGCTGGAATGTGAGGCTCTACACCAGTCTCAAACAGGGTTTCATCGAAGATTGCCCTGTATTTTGCTCCGCCCATCTTCCCATCAACTCTGACCAGCTTCCCTGTCCCTGCTGAAGAAAAGGACCACAACATGATGCTGCCACCACCATGTTTCACAGTGGGGATAGTGTGTTCAGGGTGATCTGCAGTGTTGGTTTTCTGGCACACACAGCATTTTGCTTTTAGGCCAAAAAATTTAATTTTGGTCTCATCTGACCAGAGCACCTTCATCCATGTATTTGCTGTGTTCTCCACATGGCGTCTTGAAAATTGCAAAGGGACTTCCTATGGCTTTCTTCAACATTGGTTTTCTTCTTGTCACTCATCCATAAAGACCAGTTTTGTGGAGTGCACAACTAATAGTTGTCCTGTGGACAGATTCTCAAACCTGAACTGTGGATCTCTGCAGCTCCCCCAGAGTTACCATGGGTCTCTTGACTGCTTCTCTGATTAATGCTCTCCTTGCCCAGCCTGTCAGTTAAGGTGGACGGCCATGTCTTGGTAGGTTTGCAGTTGTGTCATACTCTTTCCATTTTCGGATGGATTAAACAGTGTTCCGTGAGGTGTTCAAAACGTGGGATTTTTTTTTTTTATAAACCAACCTTGCTTTAAACTTCTCCACAATTTTATTCCTGACCTGTGTGGGATGTTGCTTGGTCCTTCAGACCTCTGAAGAAGCAGAAGCTTCGAGACGCGTTACCGCCCATTTACGTCATCACGTTCCTTTGCTTACGTCACGTCCGCTCCGATGCATTTGCGTTCCAAGCTGGTCAATGCGGCAAACAGCCGCATTGGGATGTTCCAGTCCACAGTCCAGCCACACAGACTGTCTGGAAGTGATAACCCACAGGGAATACATCCGGACACATTACTGACATGCCTGTCTTTGTCCATCTTTCAGTGAGTTGGCAATTGTATGTTTTTAATAAACTCCACTATTAATGC